TGGATGGATGGATGGATGGATGGATGGATGGATGGATGGATGGATGGATGGATGGATGGATGGATGGATGGATGGACGGACGGATGGATGGATGGGTTGATGGATTAATGGATAGATAGATGGGTTGATGGATGGATGGGTTGGTGGGTGGATGGTTTGGATGGTGGGTGGATGGATGGATGGATGGATAGACACATGGGTTGGTGGGTGGATGAATAGATGGGTTGATTTAGGGATACATGTGTCGATGGATGGATGGATGGATGGATGGATGGATGGATGGATGGATGGATGGATGGATGGATGGATGGACAGATGGGTGGATGTCTGGATGGCAAGATGGATGGATGAACGGATGGATGGATGTATGTATGGATAGATGGATGGATGGATGTATGGATGCCAATTCCTTAGCCAGACTTCCCCACTGTTGGATAAAAAGAATATTCCCGCACGTTGCATAAAACTTCACCTCCACTGTTCATCCAGGACTACAACATTATCAGTTGTTTAAACCAATATAGGCAGAGCTGGATTTGTGTGCAGATTTGATTTCCAGTTCATTGAACCATAACTTCTTAAGCTGTAATTTTTTGACAAGAACTGAAATGCCAATAAACAGATTCAAGTTCAAGTCACTATGTAACAACTCCTAGGTGGTCCTGATAACAGAAATGATCAGTGTAAATAAACACACTGACAGAGCCCCATTTCACAAACATGAATGTAGGTAAATGTGAAAATGTATGTAAGGATCCTGTGAAGCTTTCTAGATCTGCTTTTCCAAGATGTTTGATGCTTTGATTAGCATTAATGAGTGCATAAACCAAAAGATAACATCTTCATAGTCTGATAAGCTGTCAGGATTTTGGCCACAACTTTCTCTCACATCTGCAATGCCTTAGTAGCAGTTGTATTGCAGCTGGAACTGACACAAAACTACATTTGAAGACAAAAAGAAAAATGACTTTAATCAAAGACTTACCACCAGCACAAGTAGCTGAGCACTCGGACCAAGGCAGGTGGTGCCAGGCGAAGCCTACCTCGTTGTCACCGCTCCCTGTCCGGTGGATGGGAACATTAAACTTATAGCGTATTCCAAGGTTCTGCTCTTGAAGGAGAACCTGAATAAAAGGAGGGAAACATGTTTATGTGGCTACTTAAACTCATTTTGCAATGTTTGTCTTAAAAATGTCTCAGTGTTTCCCTCTTTGGTTGAATGGTTATTGCAGAGGAATTTCCTATATGTAAGAACTAGTGTTGCACAGAGACCAACACCAGTATCAGGCGGGACCCCGATCTAGCGCTAAACTGGTGGTATCGGTATCAGCGCGTACCAACAAATACGGCACCGATACCATTTTAATAGCCAAAAGTTTATTCAACTATTGTCACCCATTCCAGGTAGGCAATAAAAAGTTCTACTGGATTCACTTTTTTATTAGTCTTTTCTCTTCTACACAAAGGTAAGCAGCAGCTTGACAAAGCCATGATGGCTATTATTTTACATCCAAGTAGTATGCAGTTCTTCGTATATAGACACACGCATCCACTTCAAACAGATGGTATCGGTATGGTATCGCCAAATGACTGCACAGCAAGGTATCGGGTTCAGGTATCTGGGCCAAAAAATAGCCTCAGCGCAACACTAGTTAGAACGGTACATGCTTATTTTACAGATACATGCTAATCGTGTTTAAGTATAAAAGCAAATCATTCAGACACACTGCTACCGAGCAAAGTGTCTTTACCTCCACGGCTAAATCAGCAAATCAGCCTTAAAGCAAACAGCTCGAACTAAGGCTTCAGCCAACTGGACTCAACAGGGATGGGGTGAAAAAATTCTTTACCTTAAAAAAGATCTGTTCGAAGCATAACTTTACTAAGTCTCCATGCTTCAAGCTAGGCTAAGCTAAGCTAGCTGCTGCCTGCTCTGATCCTGACCTGTTTAGGGTCTCTTGACACCAACCATTTTGGTGACATTTTCAGATATTTGTGTGGTGGTGGGGTGAATTACACTGTAAAATGAGGAATGCATTAGAATTAGCTTCCCTGCTTAAAGCTGTCAAGCTAATTTGGCTTGAAATCTGGCCACAGATTCCAAAAAAGTAAAAACAAAAAACAAAAAAACAATTCACTGGAATTGGTTTCCAAGTTTGAAGATGTTTCACTTCCCATCCAGGAAGCTTTTTCCATTCAAATGTCAGCATTAGAATGGAATTCAAAGCTTTAAAATGTAGCCCAAAAACTTGTTTTGGCTTAAATCTCTGCTATAAAATTCACTATAAAGTCTACTATATAGTCCCCACTCTATATAATGCTTGAGGGATTTAAGGGTTAGCCTGGACGTTTGGCCTTAGTTTTTCATTTGATAAGAAATTATTCCACATGTTTTGCTAAGAAAAATCTTGGTAGGTGTGGAATTGAGCCACGGTCCTTCCAGCTTCACATGATACATTAAACAATGCAGCTTAGTGATATTTCCTTATTTTGGAATAGTGCTCTTTAAAACCTAACTCTGCTTTAACATTCTTGTCTTCTTTCTCCATGCTTTATCCCTTCCATAGATGAAATTACACTCATATTGTTTTTATTAACTGGGAATAACCAATTGCTTTTGAAATCAGTTGGTTCTCTAGATTTTATTCAGGGACATAAGAGTAAATATGTTTGATGATGAATGCACACAGCCAACTAGTAAAGCAGACATATATGGGTTCTAAAATGTGCACCATTTTGTGTGGATCTATCATATTTCACAAGGACTGAAAACATTTGTAAAGCACTGCATATGCCGCTAACAGTGCAATAAGTGGACATTAGAGTTGTAGACAGCACAGGCTCCTCTGAATCACTGCACTGTGCTTTGTTCTTTATGTGAAAGCTTAAAACATACAGTAATCCACCAACAAAGGAAAAGAAAAGAAAGATCGAAGTGAAGTTCATATAAACATTACCACCACTGGGAGTAAAATAGTTTTATGATCACATTTATTGAAGGTCAAGTGTACTAAAGCAGTGATTTTATTGGTTCTACCAGATTTTATGAGGGAAAAAGTTGTTTTTTCAAAGTTATAAGCACAACCTTCAAATTTATTTAGCCAATTCCACATTCTCTTCACTATTGTGAAATACATGTTTGAATTTATCACTTTTTGTGTTTTTACAGTTTTGAGTTGACATCAAAAAATCAGCTTTATTACCATAACAAAGAGGTTTTCAGTGGTAGGTCCCAGCGCCTCCAAGGACTCGGGTTCATCGGTAGGTCTCCTGTAGTGGAAGGCCGTCCCTGCGATGTCAAACTTCCTGGGCCAGTCAATGGTCCAGGCTCCGTTGATGAAGTAATCATCCTCTTCAGATTTTAGAGCTGACAGATCACAAGATAAATTCATTTAATATCTTTCAGAAAGCTACAATCCAAAAAAGGCTAGAGTTCTGGTCAGAAGTTAGGATATACTTATCATGAGCATGAACAACATTATCTTTTGGGAGCTTAAATGATATATTGGAACTTTTCTTTGTTTTTTGTGGCCCGATAATGATAAAACTATGTGTGACTACATGGGAAGAGTATTAATCTTACAAATGGGACGGCCAGCACTAATTTGTGTATCGCTTTATGAAAATTGTGAGTGAGCATTTACTGTCAAATTGCTCTAAGTGTCAACCATGGGTAACCAATTAAAAATAACCAAATAAAGAAAATACACAACCAGTAAAGGTCTGGAGACATTTCTAATTATAACCCATTACTTTATACAGAATTTAACACAGAAATAAAATGAGGTGTTTATGCATCCATGTTATACATTGACTTTTTAAATGAAAATATATATATATAAAAAAAATAGTACATTTTTCCATTTTAAAATCTAAGGTGTTTTTTTAAGGAGAGAACAAAATCGTTCAGTTTGGTGTATATATATAGACCATTTCCTGATTCACATATTTTATGAAACACCTTTCGTTTCGTTTGTTTCTTTTTTTTTTCTTTTTTATGTCTTTATGAGAGCAGTGGGCTTTATGCTGCCCTGCAAGGCTTTAAACCTGGGTTTGAATGGAGACAAAGCCATTTTCAAGCACATATTAAGGTGGTGATTTTGAGCCTGGATCCATATTTATTCTTTATTAAATTCATGGCGGAGAATCCTGCTTTACAGCAGCAAATTGAGCCAAACATACTCTAAATGTGCAGGGTCATCTCTGAGCACACTATTTCACTTTTCTGTCATCAGTTCCAGCAGTCCACACTTTTTTTTCACTTTTTCTCATCATCTTCTCCTTCTTACCCATCACCCGGCTTGCCACAGGTTTGCCTGTTGTGTCTAAAAGTAGCTAACAACAGCAACCCAGACTGACAGCTCATTGGCTAATTTGTATCTCGTGTAGACTTGTCCCAGGTCATCTGGATGGCTTTACCATATTAACAGGAGATGATGTGATTTATAAAGGTTTTAAATCAGGTTGGGTCCGGATTAGCAAGCAGGCGGGTCCTGATCCGGACCGCGGACCACTAATCCGTGACCTCTGACCTAAACTACCCACATACTACCCACATCTATACATTTCAGACCAAATCATCCTGTTGGCAAATGTGAATTTAAAACAACTTTCAATATTCCAAACCTGTTTATTCTGATTTAAATCAGTGGGTTGAACTGCAAATTGGGATGGTGGCAAAGAGGGTTTTCAACTGGATGGGGACTTCATAAAAGATAAATCACTGAAACACCAGTAGAAACTTGGAAAAGTCTCGTCAGTAACTGTGATTGATTATTGAGTGGGTATGGATCATTTTTAACAGCTCATTTTTTCCCAAATCTAGTAAGAAATTACTCTTTCCTAAACAAGGTTAAGTTTATAGTTGAATAACGGCAAATCTACACTGCACTGGCCACTATATGATGTAGAGCTCTCTACCTGCTCGATAAGGCACATTTCTTGTCAGCCAATTACATGGCAGCAACTGAATGCATTTAGCATGTAAACATCATCAAAGGTGATTTAAGTGACTTTGATCGTGGCATGGTTAATGGTGCCAGACGGGCTGGTAGGAGGATTTCGGAAAATACTGATCTACCAGGATTTTCGTCCATCTGTAGGGTTTAATAAGAATGGTCCAAAAAAGAGAAAATATCCACTGAATTGCATTTTTGTGGGTGCAAGTGCCTTGTCGATGCCAGAGGTCAAAGAGAATGGCCAGACTAGTTTGAGCTGACAGAAAGGAAACAGTAACTGTGACAACCAGTCATTAGAACGGAGGTATTCCAAAGAACATCTCTGAAGGAACAGCACAACAGACCTTGAGGTGGATGGGCTACGGTAGCAGAAGACCACTCCTGTCAGCTAAGAACGGAGGCCATCATTTTCTCAGTCTCATTCATACTGCATAATAGAAGATTTAAAAAATTGTTGCCTGTTCTGACGAGTCTCGATTTCTGCTGCAACATTGCGATGGTAGGGTCAGAATTTGGTGTCAAGAAGATGAAAGCTTGGACCGATCCTGCCTTGTATCAACGGTCCACGCTGGTGGTGGGGTCATGGGGTGGGGGATATTTTCTTGGCACACTTTGGGCCCATTAGCAGGAGTTGAGCATCATGTCATCATCATAAACATAGTATTGTTGGTGACCATGTCCATTACTTTATCACCACAGTTTACCCATCTTCTGATGGCTACTTCCAGCAGATAAGATGCCATTTCATAAAGCATACGTAAATAATCTCAAACTTGTTACTTGAACATGACAATGAGTTCACTGTCCTCAAATGATCTCAATCCGATGGAACAATTTTGGGATGTGGAGGAACAGGAGATTCTCGTGATGAATGGGCATCCGACTAATCTGCCGCATCTATGTGATGCTATCTTATGAATATGGACCAAAATCTCTGAGAAATGTTTGCAGTACCTTGTCAAATCTATGCCATGAAGGATTATGGCCAGTGTTGTGCATTAACTAGTTCAATGGATGGCGTTCATTTAATATGTTCATATTTTTAGTGAACAGTGAACTGAATGAATTAGTTTTGAAGTAATGAAACTAGACTACAGCGATATTCACTCTGAGAATAATGAGCGACACACACGGCTCACATTCGCCTTCAAATAATAAAAACACTTTTCATTGGATAACATCAGGTTTCACTACAGCACACAGCATGACAAACCAGTATATCTACTGCTAGTACTAGTCTGTGGGATTCAGACTCATCTGCTGGTATTTCTGATGCCAGTTTTGCAGAGCGCATGGCGGAGTTTTATGATCTAACAAAGGAAGACTTGGAACACTTCTATGCAAACTGTGCCCATTAAGACTTAACAAACAGGTCCATTTGTCAGAAACATCCATATTAAATTTAAAGCGACACATTGAGTTAAAGCATCCGAGCAATGTTGGGAAATATCTGCCACTGATGCACTCATTTTTGATGCAGATCTTTTTAGCAGAACCTGAATGTGCCCCCTATGTTTCTGAAGTTCTGTGTAATTTGGCTAAATAAAGGCTTCACTGCACACACACTATACCTTACCTGCATCAAGTATTTTCAATTTCTTTCTATATATTATGATCACACATTTAGAGGTTGAAATATGAGGTTGTATTTTGTAGGATTGTGACTTAATTTACCAAATAAACTTGAACATAAATGAACTAATTCAATTATAGATTTGTGAGCTTACTTTACATTAATTTTCAGAAAAAGTGAAATATGAACATGAGCAAGTTCATTTTCATCTGTGTGTGAACTGATATTTGAACTTGTTCTTTTTAATTATGAACTGGCACAACATTGATTATGTCAGTTTTGAAAGTCAAAGGGGGTCCAATCCAGTACTAACAAGGTGTACCCAATAAAGTGGGTAAGCCAAAATCTTCCAGAGGTTAGAACCCCTGAAGGCTATCTGTTTTATTGGCAAAAAACAACTTTGGCTTAGCTAGCTATTGTGTTTCAAAGCAGAGTTAGACGGCCACAACATGAGACTCTGGGTCACATGACTCATCCAGTGACAGATCCGACCCTCTCGAGTCGCCTAGGTGCGTTTTTTTAAGAAGGGCAATCCTTATGAAGCATCAATACCCAACAAATGCTGTAACTCCCTTGATAAACACTTTAATATATATTTAATAAAGCCAAAACTTGGGTCAAATGCTACACAGAGATGTTTTAAAGCTCTACTGGCCATACGGACAAGCCTTCTGGCTTTCAAGGTCAAATGACAGAAGGATTTAACTATTTAGCCAAAATGACAAGAATCCACATAGGGAATGGTGCTGTATAACAAGCAAGTAGTGTAATATTCAAGATAAGGACATTTTATCTAAAAACTCCAATATTTTCATACTCATAGAAACACTCTGCTTCTGTTAAAAGTTCCTGTAACTGATCAGTTAATTTTACATGGGTCAGTTGCTTTCATAACTTTTATTGCTGATCAAGCTTTTCCTAACATTCTACACATTAAAATAAATACTAATGGCCGCTATGATTCATACTAATATCCTATTGGGTCAATATCGGTATTAGCCAATTCTCTAAGACGCAATATCGGTATCATATCGGAAATGAAGAGTTGTTTCGGGACATCCCTTTCAGTGAGAGTACCTGATAGGAGCTACTATTTAAAGAAATAGTGACCTGAGCTCTATGTGGGAGTGTTGGCCTAGTGCAGGGGTGTCAAACTGGTTCCAGAAAGGGCCGTGTGGCTGCAGGTTTTCTTTCCAACCAAGCAATAGCACACCAGACTTCTTTCATTTCATCAAGGGAGTCCAATCTGAACATGATGACTTGATGGGATGAATGGAGTCTGGTGTGCTATTGTTTTGTTGGAAAGAAAACCTGCAGCCACACGGCCCTTTCTGGAACCAGTTTGACACCTGTGGCCTAGTGGTTAGAGCAGTGTGCTTGTGCTCAAAGAATGTTGCAAGTACCCAGTTCAATCCCAACACCCTCCACTCTAGGTTCCTAAGCAAAACCCTTAACCCCACACGATGGGTTAAATGCAGAGAGTGAATTTCATCAATGGGAGATCATCCATTTTCCGTCACGCTTATCCCAAGCAGGGTCAATGGGGCCTATCTCCAGCTGTCCATCGCAGGGTAGCACAGACACAAACAACCATTCACACTTAAGGAAAATTTAGAGAAGCCAATTAACCTTATCATCATTATTTAGACTGTGGGAGGAAGCCAGAGTACCCACAGAGAACCCACACATGCTCAGAGAGAACAGGCAAACTCCATGCAGAAAGACCCGGGGCTGGGAATCGAACCCAGAACCTTCTTGTTGCAAGGCAGCAGTGCTGCTGACTGCATCACTGAGCTCAATAAATTTCAATTATTAATATTAAGTCAGACACTGTTTGAATGAGTAAAAGAAATCCCTGTCAATTCAAGCATGTGCACCCAAGCACCCAGTCATTTCATCCTGATAGAGAATGACTTGAATCTATCTTTGAATCACATTTAGCTGAAGATTTGTTATTAATTTCAGCTCATCTTGATCCTTTATCCTGAAGTCATTAACAACATCGCATTACAAGGAATACACATACCTCCCCTGTAGGAGGTGCATAGGAAAAAAGAAGTTTAGGTGAAAGCCGTAAAAGCTTCATGAATAAAATAACAATAGGTGTCCCTTTTCAACAGATCTAGATAGCTCCTCTTTTTCTGCACCAAATCATTGTCAAATTGGAAAAGACAAAGCAATCCAGCCACTTAATAATCTGTCAGCCTGGTCCATGTTCTGTAAATACTCCTTCGCAGAATTTACTTGACGAACAATGGTTCACTGCTCCTTAACATACCACAGCCTCCTCCTTTATCTACAAATCCATTTTCAGCACATCTGGCACTGATTGTGAGCATTGTGATTTTTTGACGAGTGTAGTTTGAACAAGTCGTGCGCAAATATCACCCTCTCTATATTTATGCTTCCTCATGCAGACCTAATAAAACATCGGAAAAAATGCAACATTTTCATACTAGAGGAGCAAAGAGCCAGGCAACGCTACATAAGAAAAATATTATCACTATCACTGAGGTCACAGAGGAAATTCATGACAAAGCTACAAACTGTTTGGACGGGTAAATAAAAGCCAAGAAATGTGAGTCTTTAAACGGTGATATATGAACATCATATCCTCCATGTTCCCGGCGGAGCAGGCAGCTGTCACCACGGCCCTATAAATCCGACACAGCTCTCCACTTCAGAGTGTGGCTTAAGTCCTCCATCACCACCATCCGCTATAAATTCAACATGCTGTCACATGTCTTTCTCTGGTTAATGATAAGACGCAGGGCTGGCTTAATTGAATCCGGTTGTCTGATTGTTTTGCTTCTGACACTGCCAGCGTTGCAAATGCTTTCTTGTTTAGTCTGGAACAAAGTGGATGAGTCTGGTGCCAAGACAGTTATTAATAGGTTTCAGGGAAGGTTTTATATATATATATATATATATATATATATATATATATATATATATATATATATATATATATATATATATATATATATATATATATATATATATATATATATATATATATATATATATATATATATACTTTGCATTAAGCAAGAGGAGATTAGATGAAGAAATTCTCCAATTTTCTTTTAACAAAGATGTGAGGAAATGCAAATGACAGACCAAAAAATATGAAACAGATTAGTGGTGCAAACTGCCAAGCCATCACACTGTAGTTAATTAAAACCGATTCACTTCAGCAAATAAAATAACAGATGATCTGTTAAAGGTTATGTGAAGACGTTTTAGGCTAGTTCTCTAAAACAAACCCTTAACCTGAAACCACAGTACTTAAAATACTGCAATGCTTAAATGTAGCTTTTGCACAAGTCCATTTGTTGATTTCTGTCTTGATTTGTTTTTTACATCAAGAAAACAATTGTCTAACATATTAAATCGTTGCAGTGGTCCAGACTTTGACAGAACCAGTGCAACACATTGTTCCTCCTTTTTTCAGGTCAATCTGTTCTAAATTTGCTGCTGTGCTTGGAATCATGGTCCTGTTGCATGACCTACTTTCAGAAATGGGTAAGAAAAACTCAAAATAATGTTTAATAGTTTTTTACTAAAGACCTTTTGAATATTTTTTATGCCTTATTCTTAATGGGGACAGAACCTGCATTAAAATATATAAAAAATTATCTGGAAAATAGTTATGCTCTGCAAGGTCACAATATGAAACAAGCACTAAATGTCTGTAGCAAGATCTTTATGGTTAATGGTCATGGTGGCAGTATATACAGACCTAATATTATCTTGGCTAGCACCCATCAAAACTAAACTGTTACTCATTACCAATTGTAAACTGTAAACCAATGTCAATTTGGTCAGTTTGTCTAGAATTCGATCAATAAGTTGCTTCCTTCTCACTTCCATCATAGATTTGTTTGTTATCATGTATTTCACGTCGATTCAACTCAAAATGGGCCCGGATTTTAGCTCCATTCCACGTTTGGTGTTCTATTCCGAGGCTTCAAAGTATAGAACGGTCTCCCCTCCTCCTTTGCTGAACCCTCACAAAACCAGTTCAAGAACAATTTATAACTTTTCCTGTTAGATAAATATAGTCTGTCATTTACACTACTGTATACTGAAATTATGTAGCAACATATCACATGCACGCTTTCATTGAGGTTAAATATTTACACATTTGTATGGAGGTTACCACTTTTTTGGTAACCTTTCGACACATTTTACTGTAAAGGTTAAATCTGATATTGTATATTTTACTGAAAATAAACTAAACCAAACTAGAAAATCCCTCAGAGAGCACAGAACAACAAGCAGCAAAGTTTGCCCCGAATCATGTCGTACACCTATAGCTAAAACTCTCACATGATCTGGATTATTACCAAATTTTATTTAATTGTTCCTTGACGTGAGGCACACCTTTGTTAGAAAATGTCCTTTAAAAATTTTTCTATTGATCATGCTAACAAACCAACGACTTTCCCTTTTCTTGTGTTTTTGTCTTCAGTAAAATACCTACGGACGTTTTGAGTCCGATGATGAGGCTGTCAATAGTCTCTGCTGCCACCCTCTGGTTTAGTGGGGAACTGCTTGTTCCGCCAAATAGGCCGATCTCACAATGTTAGAGAAACTTAAAAAAAATTCCTGTACAATAAATCCATACATTTTCAAGTTGTCTCCTAAACACATAATCCTTAGCGGAGGTAAAAAAAAACCTAACACCAGATGAATATGTACAATTTTCAGATAATATGTTGCATAAAAAAGGCAATTAAGAAGGAAATTCCACTGCAGAAACAACACAAAATCAGCTCAACAGGTTTTATAACGCACATTCAAGACTCGACGAGAATCTTTCAGAAATTTCAACACTTCTAGCAAATTTTGCCAGTGAAAAAAAAACACAACATATTTTGATATCTCATGCTACTGACTTGGTTGTCAGGTTTCCTTTATGTTATCATAACACAGCCTTAATGAAGTCCAATACTCACCTATGTAGTTCTTTGACATGGCGACTTCTCTAATCTCAATGTGAACTGATCCTTTCGGGATCTGCACCACATCCATGTAACCTAAAAGCGAAAAATAAAGGAGATATTTTAGAGGTATAGTAACTTTCCACCTCAACCAATCTTCATCTCTGTGTGACATATTACTTCAGCACATATGAGACATGAGCTGACGTATGATTCTAAGTAGGAGTACATATAGATTAAATTCCAAATCACCCAAAAAAGGATAAAGCAAGTCCTGCAGGAGGACAAAACGGCTCCGTTTTTTTCTTTTTACAGTCCATCATGCACACATCGTATTTTTAGGTGGTTTATAAGCCATACCATAGAAGGAGAAATATGTTTTCTCCTACTCATGCTCTCGATAGACCAACTCAGTCTACACTTTACGCCATAGGCCTGTCTGCTGATTTCTGGCTCCCTGATTGAATTAACAGGAAATATAAGTTATGATCTGTATCTTGACAGAGCTGCAAACATATGCTGTGTAGCTGGGTGACAAAGGAAAATGACCCCCCTGCTTCTGAGGCATTTAAGGCTGTAAAACAAGGGGGCTGAATCATTTTGTTGATTTTATAGACGTCTGCTGTGTCACATATGGTCATAGAAGCTAAGGGAAAAGTACTATCTCTGTCCTCCGCAGCGTATCTGCTGCTCTGACTAAACTCTGATGGGACAGAACATCCCTAAGTCCCTTATCTTAAAACTCAGGGCAGACATGTTTTACCTCCTCTAGGCAGAGACTCATTGAAGAGCCCCTCTGTGGCCTCACAGGTGCTGCCGTCCCCTCCGCACACACGGCATCGATCTTCTTTAGCGCCAGAGCCCAGGATGTTGTCGCAGCCCACATGCTTTGGAGTCAACAGATGAAGAGATTCAAGATTTTAACTTATTCCAGGGAGTGATTTTTTAATGCATTTCAAAAGTTTTAACGTCCCTGTTGATTTTTTTTTTTATTTGGCCTTATTATGAGAACAAGCAAGGTTCCTCCTGTTCGGTCAGTGTGCAGGAAATATTGCCTTTCCTTGTGACAGAAAAGCAAACCTCATAACAAAAACAAGCAGGATAGCTGAAAACATGTAAAAAAAACTATTTCTATATCAGACTAATTTCTAAAATCACACATTCAATACATTTTATATGATAGGCAGGGCTCCATGATGCGCTATAGGGGCTTTTAATAACAGCTTTATCATTCAAGTACCAGTCTTAGAAACTTTATTAGATTTTGTAAAGATTATCTGAATTGGATTTTCACAGTTTGACACTAAAAGAACCACAAATATGTTTTTAGATCGATTTTTCTTGTTGTTATTATTGAAAATTATGTGTTCTGTATCACATAATAACCTATGGAGGAAAAACCATACTTTATCTTTATGGCAAGTTTAAAGTCTTTTCTTATTTTTGAAGCTCAAAATATAAATAAACTATTGGACATTTAAAATGGCAACAGATTTTCAAAGGTAGAAATAATAAGTTGTTTTTCGTGCAATATTTTGCAATTGTGTAATTAAAATATATTTTTCCAGCTCTACTGTAAGAGACTTAATGAGACACAGGGCAAAATGGCTCCAGAGGCGCACCTTGTCAACAGGCAAACCAAGCAACTGCTTGGAGCCCCGAGTCGCTGGGGGGCCCCCGAGAGCCAGCTACTGTACATCCGGTAGATAAACAGCAACAGGCGAGCATGAAGTGGCAACGCTATAGTGACTGAGGAGATGCACAACTGCATTTAAAAATTCAGATTGGATGGAATGTTGATTGACATTGGCTTTGCCTAGTCAAAATCCAGCCCAGCCCAGCCCAGGTGGATGACATCCCTTAATGAAAATGAACGTAGCCTAGCGAATGGGTGACGTTGTAGGCCTATCGTTCAGTAAATTGGAAAGCAATTATGTAACTAAGCTGAAGGAAAATGATTCATTTTCCATGTCTAAAGAGAGACTTTCTAAAGAGAGACTTTCAGGACTGGCGCTTATTTCTATAGAGTATAGCGTGCGAAGGTCTTTGGGTCTGGAGGACTTAGGCCCCGTCCACACAAAGTCAAAACAAACACGAAACGCTAATATTTTCCACAACTTTTGTCGTAAAGACGGAGACCTAAAATAAATGTGATCGACCAGACGAATGCATGAAAACGCTGCAAAATGTATGCCAGGCCTGTAAGTGGCGCTGTGGTGCCAAAGCAAAAATAGGCAACGAAATGTTGGGCATGCGCACTAATATTTATACATGGTTGCCCTGCGGGTCCATTTTCGTGGTTCAGTCAAATCCAGGTGCTGAACTATGTCTTCGATATTGCTCTGTTCTTCCTGGAGATATTCCAGAAGAAGAAGATTCTGTTGTAAGCCCGACAGCAGGGTGAGTAGCATGAGCAGCAACCATTCAACACAGTACGGCGCCATTGTTGTTGTGATACTGTTTCGCGCATGCGTGTTTAGAGGCGGCGCTATGACGCATGCGTGTAAAAAAAAAAAGCGGTTAGAGCTTGAAGGTGGAAACGCGAAAACGGCGTTTCAAAATCTTCCCACTCTGAAGGCTTAATAAAAAAAAAGATCGTTTACAGACCCCCGAAACGCCGGCTTCGTATGGATGAGAGGCTGGTTTGGTGAAAGATTTGTGCGTTTAGGCCAGGGTTTGACTTCGTGTGGACGGGGCCTCAGTGTCTGCATTTGCACAAGCCAAGGCCCGTAAGCAGCAATTCTGGAAGCAGTATAGCACCCCAATCATTTCACTACACTTACTATACTTTATATTTTGTACAAAGTTTATATTGGGTTTTTAAAGTAATTTACTGTTTTCTTTTCTTTTATTATACATTTATTTTAATTTATTAGTTTATTCTTTACTTTTATTTTTTTATATTTTCCAAAATAACAAGGTTGTTCATGTTTAGAACATTTGGAATAAAAAAAGTTTTATTTTATACATTTTTCTTTGGTGTCAGATTATTTATAGCCTAACATAATGGTGATGAACACTGGTCAGTAGGGCCCCCTAGGATTTTTTGCTTGGGGCCCCCACAGATTCTAGAATCGCCTCTGAATGGCTCTCTACATAAATGAAAGGGAGAAAAAAAATACACTCATTTTATTCACTGTCATTTTAATTCTCCTTTAGAAAATGTTTTTAAACGTCTGAAAAATAAAGTTTCTCCTGAGCTCTGACCAGCTGTTTCTTTTAGAAACATAGCATGATGCCACCAGCACCTTGTTTCATCATGGAGATGATGTCTCTATTCTGTGTGCAGTGTTAAGTTGTAAACACAAAGTGTGTATGATGTAAGCAGGTTATGTGATTTTTGTTAAGAAGACGCTGCAAAATTTTATCTGAAATTACAACTTCCACCTATTTTCCACAGCCTGAATATAGAACTACAACTACTGCGTTGTTAGCATTCATACCTGCGTTAGCAACTTGTCCACAGCCAACGACATTGATAAAGCAGGCGCCATCTTAACATGTTAATTGGTTACCATGCTAATGTCATCTTTAAATGACTTTAGCTAAAGCAGGAACCACTGAGTACTGATGTCAATTCCCAGGTAACAGACATCTGTACCATATTATTTCAAATGTAAATGTAAACAGAATTTATTGTGCTTGGTAATGACATGAAAGTATATGAATAAAAGGTATTAGTCATCCTGGTATGTTTTGGATCATTATTTTGGTGGATGAAGAACCTCTGCCTCCGTCCCATTGCATTATACCACCACCACCATGTATCACAAAGGGGATTTTGCGTTCAAGAAGTTGTACACTTAAAAAACATCCCGGCAGATTCTGTTCACCAATTAAGCAATTATCAATTAGAGGGATTTGAAAACCAAATGCGAGCCTGAAGTTTCAGATTTTATTTGTTAAAGGAGAATTCCGGTTTTAAACACTTTTAGCCCATTTTCTGTAGTGTCCAGGATGAAATCGAATGATCGACACCAAAATTTTGACAATTGCTCCTGTCTCTGCTTTTTGGCTCATTTAGAATCCCCCCCTGGCTGCTTCAGAATGGCTTCCATACAGTTGTAGTCTTTTCGCTTCACTCTGTGTACTCCGACGTCGAGAATCAAGAAT